TTCCTTCCTTCCTTCCTTCCTTCCTTCCTTCCTTCCTTCCTTCCTTCCTTCCTTCCTTCCTTCCTTCTTTCCCTCCCTCCATCTTCCCTTCCTTCCTTCCTTCCTTCCTTCCTTCCTTCCTTCCTTCCTTCCTGAATTGCTCTGAGGTGTCAGTTGCATTTTCATGCTTGCAATTGAAGGATATAATGATGTTACACCAATTATCTCTTCTCCCAACACATTGGTCTGAAGGAAGTTGCAATTTCTGATCTAATTAATTGCTGCATTTTAAGGATCTGTACAGGAGAACAAAGAGGGAAAATGAGCACAATGAGCTGAGATTTATGGAAAGGGGATACTTCTGCAGAGACGTATGACAGTTAGTAGTTGGCTCCTGGCCATGTTGGTTTCTGTGCAGGCTTCTTGAGGGCTTTCCCTCCACTTCTCTTCCTCCTTTCCCAGTCTGCTTTCCTTTCTCTATTCCTGCATGGATCTATTCTTCTGTACTTGGTAACAGGCATTAATGCAGTTGGATAGTAACATGCATAATAATCACCACCTCCAGGGAGTTGAAATGCTAGTGGTGAGAATGAAGTGCAAATGATGGAATTGATTAGTTGGAATCAATAGAAACCCAAAACTAAAAAGCAGTCACGGCAGACTAGAGAGAGACCCAGGTAATATATGGATGTTTCTCAGTAAGGAATATTCATAGATTTCCTATTCCTGCATCCAGATAAACCGAAATAAGGAGACAAAACTCATGTCCAACATGCTACATGAGCTTAGCAGGTCCATTCACTTGCTCTACTTTGTCAAGGAATCCAAAATTGGTAATCCAGCCTGACCATCTGGCCGGCTATGCTGTGAACCACAATAATAACAATAATTTGCAGCAATTTTCTCATCAAGAATTGGTTGGACGATTGCTTTTTGATCCATCCAGTTTTAGAGGAGACCTCAGAACTTTGATACAACAAAATGTTGGCGTTTGGAAGGACTTTCTCTGTAGGAATGGTATGGGAAAACCCAAAGAGTTCATTCGCTTCCCAAAATACAACTGTTTATCTTACCCCAATGGAGAACTGAGACCGAAAGGTCTGAATAAATTAGGGAATAAATATCACTCATGTTCAGAGGCCAGCTCTGCATGCAGGAAAACCCACAGCTTAGCTCAGCATTTCTAGGTTGAGTTGGGAAGGACATTTTTTTTTAAATCTGAAACCGTGGGGAGCGCCTGCCAATCAATGCAAATTATATTAGGGCTGTAAAATAAATTACGCCAGGACTGGAAATAAGTTATGGTAGAGAGGTAAAATAAATGGTTCTAAGGATGGAAATGAATTACGCCAGGGAGGTCAAATAAATCTGCCACCAATGTTGTTGCGTAGGCAGCACCACAGAAGGTCTGTGGCCATCTTTCATACTTGGCTGGTAGAAGTTCTGCAAATTGAAATGCCGATCTGGCAAAATGCCATTCAAGAGAGCAAGTCTAGGCAAATGTTGTGTGCAAAATCTTTGTTTTGGAAATTTACATGAAAAATAGGCTGGAGGCGTTGCATACAAGAAGTAGAAATGATACCATATGTAGCTACGTAGATGAAAATGTCAGGGCATCTGTTAAGGGTACAATGCTTATTGAAGGAATGTAGAAATCAGCAAAAACTATTTACTAGAAAAACAATATAGGGTACGGAAGGGTAGGGTAGGGTAGAACAGAATAGAATAGAGTAGGGTAGAATAGAATAGAGTAGGGTAGGGTAGGGTAGGGTAGGGTAGGGTAGGGTAGGGTAGGGTAGAGTAGAGTAGGGTAGGGTAGGGTAGGGTAGAATAGAATAGAATAGATTAGAATAGAATAGAGTAGGGTAGAGTAGAGTAGAGTAGAGTAGAGTAGGGAAGGGTAGGGTAGGGTAGAATAGAGTAGGGTAGAATAGAATAGAATAGAATAGAATAGAATAGAATAGAATAGAATAGAATAGAATAGAATTACAGAAATGAATAGAATACAGTAGGTGTACAGTAGAGTAGAACAGAATAGAACAGAACAGAATAGAATAGAATATTATTTACCAAGCACCCAAATTATGTCACATCTTCTCTTCTTCTCCATTTGTAGCAAAACCACTTCAGAAGAAGACAGCAAGCAGCCAGCTCAGGCAGTGACCCATGTCCCTGCACAACCCACGCATGCTCCAACCTGGGAGGAAAGAGTGACAGTGGAAATTGATTCCAGCAAGGCAGGAGAAGAAGGTGGGACCACTTTGGAAGATCCGAGAAGCTTGGTGGGACTGAATGAATGGAAGGGAAGAAAAGAGGAAAAAGAATCAACCTGAAACAAGAAGGATAGATTCAGTCATGGTGGTGATGGGGCGGGGGGGGGGGGAAGGTTGTGAGTTCTTTAGGATCAGGTTGAGGGGGTTGAGGGTCCTGGAGAACATCTACATGGTCCTTAAGAGTTGATGCTAACCCAATGGCACTCAATGAATGGAATGCAAGATCTTAAAAAGCTTGTGTGCCAAGCTGAACTGAATTCGGTGGCATAAACACATGATGTGGTACCCAGCTAGCGGACTATGTATAGAGTACTGCTCCTGAATCCTTCCTCTCTCCATCAAGCAAATGAGTCTATATTTAATAATCGCCTACCAAATCGCCCCGCTTATCTCCCAGTTAGGAAATGGGATCTGTGTTTTGCTGCCTCTGGCTCTTCCCTCCTAGCTCCATTGCTTACCTTAATGGAGAAATGATGATTGATAATTGAGGTATTTTCGCAAGACGGCGGCCATTTGTCCTGGTGACTTGATCTTTATTCTTCCAAGCTGAGCGATGTTATGCGGGTAATCATAATACTACTAATGGCATTAGAGTTAACAATTAGATTAATGCCAGACGCTGGCGAAACGAAGTCAGCAGCAGTCAGACGTAGCACTCCAGGTAATTCCATTACAGCTCCTGATCCGGTGAAATAAGACAGTGTTTGATGTACTCCGCTACCTATCTCAGCCCAGAAGGAAGAGACAGGGCCTGCAGAATTTCAAGGTTAGATCGCTTGAATCTAAATCCAGTTGGAGGAAGCTGTTTGTCTAGGCAAGGCAGGAGACTGTTTGGGACTCATTACAGGCTGGGAATGAACATAATTCCCAGTGTTGTGGTTCGCCGGCAGCCAATGCAGATGACACCAGAATTGGATAGTGGGGAAGAACAGGGACCAGTCCAGGAGTCTGGAGAGGACTCGGATGAGGGTCCTGCATCTGATATAGAGATGGGGCCAGGACCATCTGGGAGTTATGTGCTGACTCCGGAGCCTCCAGAGTCTGGCAGCAGAGAGGCAGAGGACCCAGGGAAGCCTGTTCCCAGTGTGCACAGAGCTGCTAGAAGGTGAGAGCAGCTGAGACAAAAGGGGCAACTTGGGAGTAAGTCTGGGAGGTGATTGCCCCTCCCATAAGGTATAAAGGAGAGGCAAAGGTAGAGAAACCTTTGCAGGAAGCAAAGTTGTTTGTTCTGTTTGGATTAATCCTTGAAGCTCTGTGTGGACTTTGTTCTTCCATTGGCTTTTTATAGTTCATTCGGCACTTTAGTTGTTGGCAGCAATTCAAAGGAGAGAAAGGTGGGTGCTTATCTCAAGGAACTGTTTGGGACTCATTACAGGCTGGGAATGAACATAATTCCCAGCGTTGAAATAAAACAAGAGTTGTTTTAAGTCAGCGTGTGCTTAATTAGGGTCTCAGGAAGCCTTGGTCAGAACACACAGGTCAAAAGGGTCAAGATGGGGCCCATGACTGTGTGGTGAGAGACTTGCTCCTTTAAGGATGCAGCACCCCAAAAGGACGCCCCCCCCCATGGGACCTGGAGATTCCCTCCAAGAAAAAGAAAAGCATCTTCAGCAAAAGACACGTCAAATACTTCCTCCAGAGATAAAAGTTTTCCCTCTCCAATATAGAGCATGGTGTTCATCTCCACTTCTTGGCCGAAGGAGCCAGTGTTGTCCAAAGTCAACGCCGTGGCCATGTGGCCAGCAAGGCTATATGCCAAAGACATACAGAACACCGTTACCTTCTCATCAAAGTGGTACTTATTTATCTACTCTCATTTGCCTGCTTTCGAACTGCTAATTTGGCAGGAGCTGGGGCAAGGAACAGGAGCTCACCCCATCGTGCAGAGCTGGGGTCTCGAACCCAGGCTGTCAGCTTTCCAGCTGACAAGCACAGTACCTTTCACCATTGAGCCATCGTGCCCCTGCTTCTGCTCCCAATAGCAAAATAATAATAATAATCAGCTCCTAAGTTTAGGAAAAGAAGAGTCACGGTACTAAGTGGAGTATTATCCTTCTCTGACCAAGAGGTTGTGAGAGATGGTGGCTATCACAGTGACATCCAGGCGACAGCTGAAGTCGTAACGTTCTTGGAGTTAGTGATTGCAATCAGAAAGAAAATGAATAGATGGGAGGGATCTCAAAAGAGAGACAGAGAGAAAGAAGAGGGAGAGACAAAGAAATCCATGCGTTGGGCAGGTGCCTGGCAGACTGTTGCTCTGTGGATATCTATTCAGTCATAGCTCTGTGGTGCCTCTGCCCCCTCCCTTCTCCAGTGGGGTCACACAGAAAGCAATTGGCAACTAATGATGGAGGAAATGAGGCTCTATTCTTCCGTTGTCAACGCTCACAGGAGAGGCAGGCCTTCCTTCTTGGGCAAGGGATTTGAGGGACAAAGAATAATGGCCACAGCAAGAACAAGACTGCTGGGAAGAGATAATGAGACAGGCGGGGAGACAGGCTGGAGAGCATCTCCAGACACAAAGCAACAATGTCTTCCTGGCTTCAGCTGTGTTCTCAGAAAGTTCAGAAAATGCTATGGGGACTTAGGAGAAGGTTACAAGGCCAGCAACGTGGTCAAGGGAGAAGAAGGCACCAGTAAGAGGCTGGTGTCTATGTAACTTGGTTAGACCTTCATCCAGTCTACCTTCCATCTCTTCTTCCATCCCACATTCAACCAACGTCTATGGAGATTCTCAGTCATCCAAGTCATGGTTGTCCCAAAAGTTTCTTTCAAAAGGCAACTGGAATTTCTTGTGTTTTTTCCTTGAAAATGTTTCACTTCTCATAGCTGAAGAAACTTCTTGGATGAGAAGTGAAATGTTTTCAAGGAAAAAAACCAAGAAAGTCCAGTTGTGTTTTGAAAAGCACCTTTAAGACATTCAACCAATGCCTTCTCCTTTCCCCCCTTTATCTAGCAATGATGCCAACATCTTTTTTTACCTGGCCTTCACCTTTGGGAATACCTCAGAATCCACCATCTTGCTTTTTCTGTCTCTCAAGGAAGAGTAGGAAGAGAAAAAATATATAATTTCTGACGTTGCATAACATTTGGAAGTCTTCTATAGTTTCTGCACGTTTCTTCTTTCTGCTCCTGAACTCTAGGGACTAGTTGGATGAATTTTTCATGATTTACAGGAAGAGAATGCTAGGGTTCCATCTCAAATTGGCTCAAGGAAATCCCAAATCAAGCCATCATAAAAAATAAGAGCCTTTGGAACTTCATTTAGTAGGTCAGGAAAGGTGAGGAAGGTGTGAACCACATTTACAGTACTTCTTTTTGTTGTTGTCGTTCCAGTTGAAATAACAGAAAAAGGCCTGTTTCAACTAATCAGTCTGAAAACTCCCTATTTTGGGTCTGATAAAAAGATTATCTCCCCTCCATTCCATTTTCATAAAAAAAAATGATTCAACGTTCATTGTCTGGTTTTGCTTTCATACTCTTAAATTATTAGCTTTCTTAATCATTTTGAATACTTAGCTATTAGGATATTCTATTTTTGATGGAGCAGTAAAAAAAAAGATTTTAATTCTATAATGCCCCAATTCTCTCATTGTCTAATAAATGCCTTTAATGTTAGAAGTTCATTTTTATTTTATTTTAATAGAGCACTATTGCAATTCCTTCCCTTCCTCTCCCTTCCCTTCTTCCTCTCATCCTTTCTCTTCCTCGTCCCCCCATATCTGACAATATTATTTTTAGAAAAGGTGGGATAAATGAAAAAATAAATGAAACATACACAAATGTGTTAGAATGGAAGGGAAAGAAAAGACTTTGGATGGGAATTGAAGTAAAGGTGGATTTTTGCAGATAAAAATGCAAACATTTACAATCACTTTAAAGGTTTTTTTTTTTAGTTCTTTCTACTATAACCTAGCATAGCTATTCCTTGTGCATACCCCGCGCCCCCAAGATGTAAATTCCAAATCAAAATGTATACACCATCAACTATTTATCACACCTTCGTCTTCCCTTCAAGAGGCGCCTGATTACAGTTCAGCACCAAGGACAGAGCTTTCTGCTCGGGGGGGGGACAAGGGGAGGAGCCCCCCCCCCAAGGACTGGAAGCCTCTTCAGGCGCTTTTCACACATTATTCAACTAAGAATAATGAGTTTTATCAAGTGAATAGGGGCTTATTTTCTTCGCATGGGCCTTTTGTTCCACACAGCTTTTAAGACTTTGCTTAGCGATGTTAGAAACTCATAAGGATGATAATTGGTGAGATTAGAAATTAGCACATGGGTGGCTTGTCTCAGATGACAGTAGAATAATTTTCCTACTGCAATTATAGTACAGTAGACATGTAAAGTGATGGTTATTAAGATATCTGTCTGTCTGCCTATCTATCTATCATCTATCTTCATCCACTCTCTCTCTCTCTCTAGTTTTCTATCATGTATCGCCATATCCCTCCTTCTCTCCTCTCTCTCTCTCTCTCTCTCCCTATCTATCTATCTATCTCTCTATCTATCTATCTATCTATCCATCTATCTACTATCTCTCTAATTTAGCTCATCTCATCAAAAGCAAACTTCCTTCCTTCCTTCCTTCCTTCCTTCCTTCCTTCCTATATCTATATCTATATCTACCATCTATGATCTATCTATCTATCTATCTATCTATCTATCTATCTATCTATCTATCTATCTATCTATCTATCTATATATCTCTACCATCTATGATCTAAGTATCTATCTATCTATCTATCTATCTATCTATCTATCTATCTATCTATCTATCTATCTATCTATCTATCTATCTATCTATCATCTTTATCATTTATCTATGTTGGTGGAGTTCTGAATTCTCAGTAACTAACAAGCATTTTGTGGTGGGTTCATGAGAAATAAATGAATGAAAGCACCAATCAGCTTTGCAACAGCTAGGAAAAGATAGATATTTGGTTCTCTTTTTAAATTTTGAAACAGGCACACTGCTCTAATTTTTACCAGAGCAGCGTCTTTTAGACAAGGGCTCTTAATCTACCCGACTCCATTATTTTTCAGATCTCAATCAGCTGCCACCCTCCCCATTGGAAGCCAACGGTTTCTCCCCAGAGCAGAGCAAACAATATAAAAATGACCAAAGAATTTGCATCAGGGGGGGTTTACCCCCTTTTTTTTCTTTCATGTGCCTAATAGTTCCCCTGGGGGAGATATTTAGATTGGGAAAATGGCAGGAAAGGCTGGGAGATTAAATGTCACCACACTGATCAAAAGCAGCCGCCTGGCGCCCCATTTGCTTTCAAGGAAAGAAAATAAAAATGAAAAGAGCTGACCACGATTCTCCTGCGTGTAGCTAAGTTTGGCTCGCTGGCATTTTTGTGCCCTAACCTGACCGTCTTTGTCTACTCCTTTCTTCTCTTTCCAGATGTGTCTCTCACCATAGCTGACAAGGACTCCAAAGAAATTCTTGTGAAATACAACATCCCTGTGAAATACCTCCGTCCTTTCCACCATTATCACTGTGCCTTGGTGCTGGTGAGTTACATAATTCAGGGCTCCCCAACTCTCTGGCTGTGGACTGGTACCGGTCCAGGGCCTGTTTAGGAACTGGGCAGCACAGCTGGATGTGAGCAGCAGGTGAGCAAACCCTACTGTAAACAGCATGTGGGTGAGATCTAAGTTGCACGCTCCTCCTCTCCAGTCCATGGAAAAAAAATGATCATCCATGAAACTGGTCTCTGGTGCCAAAAAGGTTGGGGACTGCTGATGTAATCTACCTGTTTAGACTTTAAAGGAGAATATATGCAGCTGAGAGTTGAAAGGAGGGGTTTTTCCCACTGATGTTACTTAGTTTGTTACCTAATTTGGGTAATAAAACATCTGTAAGAAAACAACTGAGAGCACCAAGGACCCTACAGTCCCCTCCTCCTCTTCCTCCTCCTCTCCACAAACTCCACTCCCTCCTAGTACTGATGATGTTACCTAGTTGAGTTATGAAACACCTGCAAGAAAACAACCTAGCTCAGAGAGCATCCAGGGCCCCTATGGCTCAAGGTTGACTCAGCCTTCCATCCTTCCGAGGTCGGTCAAACGAGGACCCAGCTTGTTGGGGGGCAAGAGACTGACTCTGTAAACTGCTTAGAGAGGGCTGTAAAAACCCTGTGAAGCGCTATAGAAGTCTAAGTGCTATTGCTATTACTATTTCTGTACGTAAACGCAAACACATAATCAAAAGAGGATGCTCTTCTCAGATAACAGATAATCAGAGTTGGAAGGGACCTTGTAGGTCATCTAGTCCAACCCCCCCCAAAGCAGGAGACCCTACACCATTTCTGACAAATGGCAATCCAATCTCTTCTTGAAAGTCTCAACTTCAACGTCTGAAGTCAACTTCTGTTCCATGGGTTGATTGTTCTCCCTGCCATAAAATTCCTCCTTATTTCCAGGTTGAATCTCTCCTTGTTCAGTTCCCATCCATTATTCCTTGTCCGGCCTTCCGGTGCTTCAGAAAATAGCTTGACCCCTTCCTCCTCTCTGGGGCAGCCCTTCAACTATTGGAAGACTGCTATCTTGTCTCCCCTGTTCCTTCTCTTCACTAGACTAGCCAGGCCCATTCTCCAAAGTCCTTGCAGATGGCAAGCTAGCTCACCAAGAAGAAAGCTCCATGAGATTTCCAGGACCCGAACGTTTGAGCCCTTCTCCTTGTTTGCGCTGCACAATTATTTCTTCACTTCAAAGCTTTCCCACCAAGCCAGGGAGGTGGAGGACAGGGCGTGCTTCCAGATGGCTAATGTTCCTAACAAAAGCAAACAAAAACCCCTTTGCAATCTAAACACCAAAGAGAAGCCATTAGGAGAACAAAATAGCAGACGCAAACCAGATGTTGAGAGGGCTACAAGAGAAGCTCCCCGTGGATGAGAACTTGGAGGGGATGATTTTAACCTGTGGTTGAAAAGTTAGAAAAACGAACAACAACAATTCAGAATGTCTACGTTCTACGAAACCTAAGTTCCGTCACCAGAAAGGTTTTGTTCTCAAATGCTCTTTGCAGAGAATACGAGATATCCAGGGGGAGAGAGATCTTGTTGCTGGTCAAGCTGTTGGAAATCCGTCAGTTCAAGGGGTCCCCTCCTCGCCCTTTGTCCAATTTTTGTGAAAGAAGGTGCATTCTTGGCTTCCTTGGAGGGGCTTCCATTGCTCAGCCAAGCAAAGGGGGGAGAGAGAGAGAGAGAGAGAGGGAGGGAGAGAGAGAGAGAGAGAGAGAGAGAGCTGCCCTGCCCTGTTTCTAATCTTTGTGGCATCAAAGACATTAAAAGGAACAACTTGACATTCAAAGGCAGCTAAAGAAACAACCTGACATGTTTGCTTTTCCGCATGAGCAGTGGAAGGGAAGGAAGGAGGGGGCACAGCTGGTGAAGAGTGTGTGAAAACGGGCAGAAGGAATGAGAGGCCCAAAGTGGAAGGAAGACCAAAAAAAAAAAAAATAGCAGTGGGAAAACAGGAATGGTAGAGAAAGACTAGTGAAGATGGAGGCATCTATCTGTCCATCCATGCTTCCATGCATCCATCCAGGATCAAGGAGAGAAGCAACCTAGAACTAGGGAGAAATTTCCTAACAGTGAGGACAATTAACCAGTGGAACAGCTTGCCACCAGAAATCATGGGTGCTCCATCACTGGAGGTTTTTAAGAAGAGATTGGACAGCTATTTGTCTGAAATGGTAGAGGGTTTCCTTCCTGAATAAAGGGTTGGACTAGAAGACCTCCAAGGTCCCTTCCAAGTTCCAACCCTTAATTCTGCTATTCTCTTATCCATATATATCTATGCATTATATATCTGTCAGTCAGTCTTCATCCATCCATCCATAATCTACCTCTCTCCATAAGCTCTCTCTCTTCTATCATCCATCTTTCTCCACCCATAATCTATCTATCTATCTATCTATCTATCTATCTATCTATCTATCTATCTATCTATCTATCTA